GAGTCTCGCTCTGTTGCCCAGGCTGGAGCGCAGTGGCACGATCTCGGCTCACTGCAAGCTCCGCCTCCCGGGTTCACCCCGTTCTCCTGCCTCAGATTTCCAAGTAGCTGGGACTACAGGCACCCGCCACCACGCACCCCCATTCTCCTGCCTCAGCCTTCCAAGTAGCTGGGACTACAGGCGCCCGCCACCACGCCCGGCTCATTTTTTTTGTATTTTTAGTAGAGATGGGGTTTCACCATGTTAGCCAGGATGGTCTTGATCTCCTGACCTCATGATCCACCCACCTTGGCCTCCCAAAGTGCTGAGATTACAGGTGTGAGCCACCAACGGCCAACAAAGTTCTTACTGTACAGATGACCCACGAAAGGAGAAGCAGACCCCCTCCTAGACTACTCTAAATGCCCTGGGGCTCCTTGAAACTGTTCTGAGTAGAATTGGGTAAGCTCTGAGACCTCCTAGAATGCAGACAGTCGGGGGTACCTTGAAACTATTCACGATAAAGAAAAGGGGTGACAAGAAGCTGCCAAGAAGCAAATGCAGCGGGGAGATGGGGCTTGCATACCGCTGGGTGGGGAGGGGCGCTGGGCCGCCTCTTGCAGAAGGTTCAGGATGAGCTTGTCCCCCGCCAGCGCGCCATAGTGAGCCGCGTCCTGCCCCAGCGCATCGGTGATGCCCGGCTGGGCTCCGCCCTGCAGCAGGACTTCCACTGTTTCCGGGCTGGCCCCCTCACAGGCCAGCATCAGGGCCGTCCTACCAGGGGAGGGGGCTACTGAGGAGATGAGAACATCCCCCAAGCCCCCACGCCCACCTCAGCACCCAGGCCGGGCTGGGAAGAGGAGGCTGGCTAGATCGCTTTACTCAGAGAGGTTAAGAGTCTTGCCCGAGGTCACACAGCATAGGGTGGACTGGCTGGGAGGGGAGATGCTCACCTGCCTTGCAGGTCCTGATCATTCGCGGCAGCTCCTTGCTGCAGCAGGAGACGGCACAGGTCTGTGTGACACATCTGAGCTGCTATAATGAGGGGTGTTGCACCTGACTGGTAGGGAGGAGGAGGGATGCGATGGCATGAGAAACTGACCCCCAGGAGGTGCAGAAGCCTATATAACCGCCCTTGAGTTTTCACCTTGAACTTTCTCAGGCTTTCAAAGGGTGCCTGAGATACTGCCACTTGGTGGCAGCATACCTCAAGCATAACATCTTCCCCAAAGAGATCCCAGAAGCTTACCCGATCTTGGGGGTTTAGATGTGCCTTAAAGGAGCACAGCACCTCTGAACAGGAGAGACAGCCACCAGCCACTGCAAAAGAGAAAAGGTTGTCGGGTGTGGTAGCTCAACCCTGTAATCCCAGCACCTTGGGAGGCCGAGGCAGGAGGATCACTTGAGCAAAGGAGTTCGAGACCAACCTGGGCCAACATAGCAAGATCCTGTCTCTAAAAAAAAAAAAAAAAAATTATCTGGGTGTGGTGGCATGTGTCTGTGGAACCAGCTACTCGGGAGGCTGAAGCAGGAGGACTGCTTGAGCTCAGGAGTTTCAAGGCTGCAGTGAGCCATGATGGCGCCACTGCACACCAGCCTGGGTGACAGAGTGAGATCTTGTCTCAAAAACCAAGAAAATAAAGGAAGAAAAACAAAAGGGGGAAGAGTAGGGGTAGGGTGAGACTTCAACCTTTTCTGGGGACTTTCTGCCTGGGTGTGACCCTGCCCCTTTATTTCATGAGAAATTCCCATGTACCCTGGGAGATTTGTAACAAAGGCAAATTTTGCATTTTACAGATGCAGAAAGCGAGGCCCAACCAGGCCTGGGGTCACCCAGTGGGGTCACAGGAAGAGTCAGATCTAGGATCTAGGTCTGCCAACTGCTAGTCCCAAGCACTGTGGTTCCCTCTACTTTCTGTAGAGACGGGGTCTCACTGTGTTGCCCAGGCTGGTCTCGAACTCCTGGGCTCAAGCAATCCTCCTGCCTCGGCCTCCCGAGGGGCTGGGATTACAGGCATGAGACCCACACTACAGGCATGTGCAACCATGCCTGGCTAATTTTTACCTTATTTTGCTTTTTTAGAGACAGGGTCTTGCTATGTTGCCCAGGCTTTTCTTGAACTCCTGGGCTCGAGCAATCTGCTTGCCTTGGCCTCCTGAGTGGCCAGGAGTGTGGGCGTGCACCACCACTCCTGGCTAATTTTCTTTTGGATTTTTTTTATGGAAATGGAATGTCACTATATTGCCCAGGCTGGTCTCAAACTCCCAGGCTCAAGCAATCCTCCTGCTTCTGGCTCCCAAAGGGCTGGGATTATAGGGTGGAGCCACCACGCCCGGCCCCGCTTCTGTATTTATTTATTTTATTTT